CATATACAGTTACAAAATTATAATTGCCCGGACAATTATGCGCCATTATATATGGATAAATAAATTTCCTTAAATTGTTAGCCAAGTGTCAAAAATTGTGAAATTGTGATTGTTAAAAATTTTTACACATCCATAACATTTTATTAGGCATTAATAATTTATGTTTATATTTGAAGAACTGATTGTAAAGCTATGTTGTCACACTATATAAAGATTTCCAAAATATGGATCTTTCTGTTATACCATTACAATATTTGAGCATATCGTAAAGATAAGATCTTATCATACTACGCATTGAAGATTGAAGATTACGAATTAGCTAAGATTAGAATTCGATCAGTTAGATAACTTTAATTTTAATCCGTTTCATTCTGATTGGTTAAATTCTAATCTTTATTTCGCCTATGGGAATTGAAGATTAAATTGAAGATTATAAGATATATGATCGAATCCTAATGTTTAATTCGCAGTTTGAAGATTAATCCTTAATCTTCAATGCGTATATAGTGTGACACGAGCTTTACGGTACTACGACTGGTCGCGGATCGGTGCGCGACCATTAAGTATCAAACTCAGATGTCGCCGAGATTACGTGCATCTGCAGGATATAGCTATCAATTCGTGGGTATCGTACCATGAAATGTATCTCTCGCCATTTAGCGGACGAGAATTTGGGACGACGATGTGCGTGTTGATAACGTTATGCAAGTAACTAAATGCACTTGCATCTGCACGCGTTTCGAAACGCGGTCGTACAATCAGGAGGATATTGATGATGCGGGGGTCCATTTACATTATACTCGGCCTCACTGCATTGAACAAAACCGCTGCATTAACTCCACATTCTGATAATGAAACACTTGAACTCATAACAGTAACGCATTTTTTTGTGACACTGCATTGAATAAAAATTACTAAATTTTAATAAATATTTGTTTGGTATATTAATTATTGAATCGTGTATATAACAATATTTATCGGATGTTAGCTTGGTCACAAATTCAATGTTTCTTCAATGAAAGTTTGATACAAGATCATTATTTGTTCCAATTTTTATCGATGTTGAAGCAGCGACTATCTCTCGCATTGTAATATTCAATATTTATGTGAGAAATGTAACATTCGACACAGTCATATACAATTCTACCAAAAGGTCACGCGATAAAACTTAATCCGATTTAGAAAGTTAAACATATAAATCTGTTTCATCTTCGTGCTCATGTTGGACGCATTCAAATATATGAAAGTCGTTTTTTAGATACTAATTTATGAAAGTCAACTTTCGAAGCGTATATACATATATATATATATATATA